TTTTTTTTTTTTTTTTTTTTCTATTCTTTTCCGTTGTTGCTCCCTTTCCCACTTTTGTTTTCTTACAGCAGACTCGAAACCGAAACCGAAGTATAGACCAGAAAAAAATATTAAAAAAAAAGAAAATACAAAAAGCGATCTGTCAATTCTCGGTGGCTTGTGGTAATTCTCTGCAAACCAGGATCCCGGTCCAGGTTACAAGACCCAGCCAAGCAGTCAATCAATCTGTCAGAAGGAGGCGCGCGTCAAAAAGCAACGAAAGACCAGAGAAGAGTCAAGAGGGAAAAAAAAAGGAAAGATTGTTAAGAAAATAAGAACAACAGAGAGGAGGAAGGGAAAAAGGACGACTGCCTTCTGTTGTTGCTCTCGCTTCTATCACCATTGGTGCTGTTGAGATTGTTGTTTCTATTGTTGTCGGTATTATTTGGATTATTATTATTATTATCTGTAAAGGAGGAGACGGAAGTTCTTCATCCATTCATACTACTGACCACTAGACACTTCTCCCTCCGGACATTCCCTCCACTTCTAGGGTAAAAAAAAAAAAAAAAAAAGAAAGAAAGAAACCCAGAAAAAGAGGGGCAAGTCACTCTTCATCTCAAGCCATCAGTCAATCAGTCCCATCCATCCATCAATCAAGAACTTGCTATCACAGTTCTGTTTGTCGGTGGATTGACGTTCCCCATCCGTTATTATTCTTATTCTTGTTTTTCTTATTACCACCTCTCTTTTTATTTTTTTGCCCCCATACCTGTCTATCATTTTCATCGTTCCGCGACTCTTATTTGCCCCTTCTACTTCAACTTACTTTGTTTCCCCAGCAGATCATTCATTCCCACTTGGCCACAGTCGGGTCCCTTAGGTAGATACCTACCGACTTTACTGGGTCCTCAAACCGCCCCTCTTCCCATCCTTCATCCACTAACTACTGACCACTACTACCAACTACCACTACCCGGACTAACTAATCACCACTTTATCTCAGTTTTCTTTCCTCTCAGGCTCCCACACCTGACGGTAAGTTCTTTGACTTTTACCTATTCCAGCTTAATCCCTCTTTCTGCAGTGTCTCCATTGCCATCCCTCCGTTCAACCCTGGCAGTGACTTCCCGCTTTTTGTCAATAACTTTTGACTCTTTTCTAATAAACCAGAGCAGACCCGACCCTTTTTCTTTTTTGGTTTTCCCACCGTTCGATCTGCTGTCGCGCACCACGCGACCCGACGGCTTGGCTTAGCTATCTCCCAACTGATCGGAGAGTAGAGGCAGTGCCAAACGACCGTCGTATTTTATTTCATCCTTTGGGCCACCACGGTGTACGTACTACTATCTTATTACTACTATTATTATTGCCGTCGCGATTTAGGATTCTCTTGCCGTTATAAGAACATCATCAGCACTATTTTACAACCGGTTTACCCCTGTTCTAGCTTCGTTGGTTTGCTCCTTAGCTGCGCTTTTTTTTTTTTTTTTTTCTTTTTTTCATTTTCTTTTTTACCCTTAATTTCTCGTTTCTCTTTTCCCTTTGCGCTCCTCTTCCTCTTACCTGATTTGGACTCCTCGTCTGCGCATCTCGGCGTTACAAAAAGAAAAGTACCTATACGGAGTACTCCGTACTGGAGAAGGGATTACTTACATACCTTATTTTCTCTCACTGACCAGGGTCGGTGTGCCCACTCCAGTCGTTAGCTCCTGCGCGGATCTCGTTCTCTTCCATTCCTCCCCCCCCCCAGCTTATACTACTTATGACAGGTACTAAGCATTCTGAGCTCCGTCTTTGATGTCCGACCTATTATTACTGTTACCATCATTCTGGGTTTCGTTTTGCATTAGCTTTCCTTTGCCTTTCCTACCATTTCTTACCTAATTCCCCCAGTTCTTCTTCCTTTATTATTTTTTTTCTCTTAAATTTTCTAGCCAATGTTGCATTTGGTTGACGGTTGATAATACTGGCTTTGCGATCGTTATCTTTCAAACCCACTATAGCTGACTATTACAAGCTATTAAGTTGTGGACAGTTGCTCCCATCCGGCAATCAAACAAGCTAGGATACCTTGCACCTCTATTCGCGTGATATCTAGAACGTCAACATAACCGGTCTGGCGTCGCCGCTCTGTTCAAGTACCACAAGTTGATACAAGCTCCACTCAGAGAACGCAACCAACTCACAGCAAACAACAGAGATCTCATTCTCAAGAGCTAATTGCCTATTTTGGGAATATCTGGCGAAGCTCTTACTGTGGTAAGACTCCACCACCTCACTAATTCGGTGTAACTCACCAGAGTATGGAAGCCTAAACCCGTCCTTGATAGCATTTCTCTGGGACATGATGTCCTCATGACCGTATGTCTCTCGCACTGAATCGACCGTCCACTGCGGATCTGCGGCGATCTGGTGATCCTAGCCGTAGCTGCGGACCCACGATTATGGAAATTATCTCAACGGACGATAAGCCGAAAACACTTCCTGCCTTTTCTGGGCCTGCGCCCCCAATGCATCGCATTCCTCACGACGGATCGCATGGTCCACCGAGTGTGCCGGGAATGTACGAACAGCCATGGCGCCATTACCCACCCTACGAAGGTCACCCTGCAGAACAACGTCGAACATCTACTGCTCCTCCACCATTATCTTCACATGGGTACCCTGTTATCCCGAATCGCGAACTGCCGCAGCTTCCTCCCGACGGCCCGTATAGCAGGCAGGGAAGCCTAACTGGCCCAAAACACACACCGACGGAAGCGCATCCATCGTTCCGGGGTCCCGTGAATGGGACACCTCATGAGCCGGCACCGCATTCTGCGCCGCCTGAGTATCGATCTCGGATGTCTTTTCCTCCCCAAGAGCCACATAGTAATGGCGACGCTCCGCCTCCATTACCACCACACTCAATTCCTCCAGCTCCATATTCTACCCCTGCTCCGCCTATATCTCATACACCTGTCCCATATGACTCTAGCTATTACCAAAGCCAGGCCTATGGTATTCGCCAGCGCAAGGCTGCACGAGCACAGCAGGTAAGTTAACTCTTATCCTCTTTGCCGCAAAGTGCCACACTGCATATGTATATGTGAAAGGAGAAGATGTTGCTGACATATGTTGCTTGCTCATGGTTAAAGGCTTGCGATCAATGCCGAGCGAGGAAAGCAAAGTGCGATGAAGGGCGGCCGTCATGTAGTCATTGCAAGGAAAACAACTTAAACTGCGTTTACAAAGAAGTTCCTCCGCACAAGTCTGTGTTTCTAGCTCTTCCATTCCACTACTCTGTACCTATGATGGAAGGAGGCTAACAACACATACAGACAAGAAAAGGCGACCCAGCTCTTATTGGATCGATTACAGTCATTCCAGGACGCCATATTGGACAGATTCGATCGTTTGGACCAGCTTAATACGGAGCATGGGAACAATTTTAATTCCATCCTGGCAAAGATAGACGCCAAGTCCGCACCTAAGGAACCACGGAAACCGGCAGTCCCGCAATTGGCAAAGAAGGACATAATCGATATTCAGGAATCCAAAGCCAAGGATGAGAGTATTGCTACAATGCAGGAGCAGATACCAGAACCAACTGAAACGACCACAGAGCAAGTTGTTCCCTCCGGTGAGGATGGTGAGCTCTCAATCCCTGTAGAGCATACAACGGCGGCTCACAAATTGCTGTTGTGGCCTTCGATTCGAAACCTTCTTCGTCCAAGAGAGTATGACGAGGATTACGTGATGAAACTCGAAGAAAAAAGGGGCTTAATTCGTGTCTATGGTCGTGGAGAGGGAGATGAGACCAGTGAAGACAATGGCCTGTCGCCTCCGCCAACGACCTTGAGCACCAGCTTCAATGAAAACCAGCCATACTATCCGACATCACCCTCTAATGGACCTTGGGGGGTATACGTGAACCAACCCCAGATTAAACTTGAAAACAAAGGGCTTGACGAGAACGGCATGCTAACTGCGGACCCTGATATGGTTCGTCGTTATCATAAGAGCTATATGAAACATATGCACCAGCTTCACCCGTTTCTTGATCAGAGCGACTTAGAGAACAAAGTCGATCATTTTATCAGGATGTACTGCCCATTGAAAGGTCCTATGCCGTCCCCAGGAGTACTGAACAATCATGTGAATGATATGCCTCGAGGCGCAAAACGAAAGCGTTCATGCGAAAATTTACAAGGTGTGGGATGTGATGTGCAATCCGCTGCTGAACAGGGTAGCGGCCGGCGGATAGAAAAATCTATCCATAATGCTATTATTCTTCTGGTCCTCGCGCTTGGCAGTATCTGCGAAGCCAACCCTGTGCCCGGCCCAGTCACAGACCAGCCGGTGGACTTCCGAAAAGAGACAATACCTGGTCCTCCTACGCACGGTATACTATCGCCCGCAGGTTCAGATTCTCTTCCTCAGTCGCAAGGGAGCGGCTATGTCACGGAAAGTCACACCTTTGCATCTCCTTCATTAGTGGGTAATCGACAGAGCGGTGTCGAAGGGAACCCAATATCCCAAGACAAAAACCTGGATTATATTCCTGGCTTAGCATTTTACGCATACGCTACCCAGATCCTTGGAAGTCTCCAGGGAGCAAATAGACTGCCTCACGTTCAAGCAGCCTTATTAGCAGGACTTTACGCAGGCCAGCTAGCGCACCCCTTCCAGAGCCACGGATGGATTTATCAAGCCGCCAGGGCTTGTCAAGTTTTGGTTCGATCGTAGGGATTGCCATTTCCATTCAAGCAATCATAGTATATGGCACTAATTAGACCTCTAGAAAGCGTTACACACAGATGCCTGATGGCCCCGACAAAGACCTTTACGATTTTGCGTACTGGACCTGCCTTCAGCTGGAGAGGTATGTGTGCACCTTCTGTACCTTTCCTTGCTTTCTTTTCACTATAACGTCGGAGAAGTACTGAACTCGTATCCAGTGATATACTAGCAGAACTTGATCTTCCTGCTAGCGGTATATCACGCTCGGAAGCTCGCATCTCCTTACCAAAGGGACGGTTTACTCTTAACCTTCCGAATGAAATCTCCGCCCCAAGTACTATGATGATGTTTTTTTACTCGGCCCAGATTCATCTAAGAAAGGTTCTCAACCGTGTCCATACTGATCTATACAAAGTTGAAAGTGAGTTTTCGATACTTGAACATGATATCGAGTTAAAGAAATGCTAAGATAATTGTCCACAGAGCAAGGACAGACCCATTGGTCATCGCACGTTCAAGAAATTTTAAGTATGAACCTTGAACTTTGGCGAAACAGTCTGCCTGCTGTGATGAAGTGGAAAGACACCGATCCACCATCAGAAGAGATTAACGTCGCGCGGATGCGAGCTAAGTACTATGGTGCACGTTACATTATCCATCGTCCCTTACTGTATCACGCCCTTCACCACTATGGCCAATTAGACCTTCGCGCATCATCGGATGGTCCGTCTACTGAAGCTACTGCTATGGCAGCTTCCAAATCGCAGCAGATATCACCATCATTGAGCCATAGTCAAGGTGCCACGAACATGGCACGTCTGTCAAGTGATATAGGTCCTGCATCTGGGTTTACAGGGATTGCACATCGCGACTTGCCCACAAAGCTACGAAGAGCTTGTAAAGTTTGCATTGATTCAGCTATGCTAAGTACAGTGGCATTTGATGGCATAAAGGGGCGTCCAGTAGTGACCAACATTTTTGGCACCGCCCATGCGTACGTGAACACCACCTGCTTATACTACGCCTAGGCTAGAGTGCATCAGCTGACATTGTTTATTGTACCCTCACAGACAATTTGGTAACATGTTGGTATTGTCCGCTACATACATGTCTAGCCTCTCGGAACTAGTGGATCGAAACGAGCTCGAGAGACTTCTTAAGCGAACAATCAACTTTCTGCTGCAGAGCCGTTATATTTCTCCTAGTCTCCGAGCTGACGCGCGAATTCTTACCGAAATATATGAGAAAATATTTGGAAATCCCTCAGAGTGGAGAGATACAACTGATTAAGCTTGGCAGCCTCGCCTATCTGGATTTCAATTCATGATCGATAGCATTGCTGGCGTCTACGATGCACGCCTCAGTTAAACGAGTGCATGCAAGCTGAGTGACACCCCTAGGTGGCTATAGCGTTCGTTACAAGCCGCTGGCACTTTGATTTTTCTGCTCCAACAGTGGGCTATCACGAACTTGCTTCAACATTTAATTTCGTATCTAACTCATGATATATGCGTGTATTTGCATGGTGGCTCATTTGTTTATTTTTCGTCTCGATTTTAGATACCACCTGCATTTGTGGTTTGTGTCTGTGGTCTTATCCCGTGCATGTGGAGAGGAAGGGTGGCTATCTGACGGTTTTCTCTGTTGATTTTGATTTTGTTCTTTTGTGGTATTCTAAAGGTCTTGGTCGGCGTCGACTGCACCTGCTAACCGAAGCAGGAAATGGGTACGGGAGGGATCTTTCATTGCATTTCTAGCGGTTCATGGAGGATTGCCTCCGCATACAATACATTCTGAAACTTCGTATGGAGTACTGCGCAGTGCATCTTGCAGGTTAGGCGACTCTCACTTACGATACTAGATTACTGACGGCTCTTGTTATTGTTGCTTCTTGGAATGCTGGATGTTTTTGAGTCAAGGGCGCATGCTGGTTAAATCAATGGAAGTAGGCTGTATCTGGACATTTTCTTGCCTGTTCGACATGTTTCATTCACGGTACCTCCCCAGTTTTCGCGTAAAATGGTGACCAAGGTATACATGGACCTTGAGTGGCCTCGGCCGTTCGTCCCTTGTATCTACCGAATCTTAGGCCTCTGACGCAGGTTAGAGTTGGCCATTGCAGGTTGTGATAAGGATGGCCATGTTCCATGGATGTTGCACCGAGCTTAATTTGGATCCTTGACTGCCTCAGGCATCGATCACAGCAACCAAGGTCCCAGTTTGTTTTGTACCACGTTAACCGGCCGGGGCGGGGTGGAACCCTGCAACCGAAGTATCAGCAGTAATAACTAGTACAGAATAGTAGTACTATTCAGTAGAACAGGCTGGGTCAGACACTTAAGACATGTCTACTGATTTCGTACTAGATAGATCACCTCTAATTATGGGCACTAGTGAACTAAAATTATAATATTGTACACATTGTGGCCCCAGCCATCTCTGTGTTGATTATGTGCATCGACCTGTCCCGCACGTGCAACCAGGGCACCCACACCTCACCGCGATTTCGAATCTTTCCAACTAACCTTCTCTGCATTCCTCACTTTTTAGCCTACTATAGGGAAGGCATCTCATCCGAGATCGAAACTCAGTTTATCTCCTACATTATCAGCCTCCCCGCATTCCTCTAATCCTCTACTGTATCTCTCCCCTCTATTCAACAGACCCGAGCTGTCGCTTCATCCTTGTTGAGAGCGCTAAGTCCTCTCGATCGCCCTAACTAGCGGCACGATTGTCTGGAGCAACCAAACTTAGATTGCTAACCAAAGTGGTCCTCGCCTCCGCTAGAAGCTGGGGCCCTCCGACTTCCGACCAAGGAGGAAAAAAAAAGAGCCACGGTTCAGCTGCGCCAATGTTTACTACTCTTCCGTCGCAAAAACAAATTGGCTGAACCGACCGAGCAATCTATACGCGTCCTTTTTGTTCCTAATAGTTAAATTTTCACTCCCACTCTTCTATTCCCCTTACAGTTTCCCTTTCCTTCTTCTTCATCTTCTTATTTTTTTTTTTTTTTTTTGCCTCGATCTTTATCATCCTCACTATCGTATAGCCGGCCTACGTTTTGTATTTTCTCTGAACACACGCACATACCTACTTACACTTCCCTTTGCCAATCTTGACAGCCGCAGCAGTCCGTATCCCACATGGTTGCCTGGTTTTTTTAGGGCATCTCCTTGATCGCTCTCTGCCCACCATGTTCAAGGCCTTATCAGCCGGGGGCCGTTCGTCCGATGCCCGCAGCAGCTCCAGTTCTAAGAGTAGTAGCCGTCGCAGAACAGATTCCAAAGCTCCATCAACAGTGAGCCGCAAGTCCTCACGGGGTGACGACCGTGATCGAGGCTTGGGTGACCTGTCAGCCTACTCATCGTCTGGAAACCATAGCAAGCGCTATGCGCACAGTGCAGCAGGCGATTCCATTGCGTCGAGCTATGCGACGGCGGAACCTCATAGCGCGATCGGACCCGACCGCAATATCATCGAAAGGGCACCAAGGCGCAGAGATACCGACGATAGTGAGCGTTGTGATCGATATCCGGACAGCGATGACAGCGATGACAAACCCCGACGCAGACGCACTCGCTCCCGATCGCAGAGTCGCGAACGAACCCGGGAACACCATGACAAAACAGATGAGGCTGATAATGGAAACCGTGCAAGTAGTCATTGTCGAGAGCGGGAACGAACTCAGCCTGACGAAATGCCAAATGTGCCCATTTCCGGTGCTGGGGCAGACTTAGCTCCGAAGGTGGGAACTTTTGACCATCCTCAATTCCCGCCGCCGTTCCACAACACACACCCAGTGACATCTATGCCAAGCTCTCCCAACGTGCCCGGTGTCTACGACCCTCATATACAGCAGCAGTTCCCGGGTCAATTTCCGGCCTTCGTTGCCGAACCTTACCAATCAAATCCTGCAGGCGCAGCAGCCGATTACTACGGCGACCAGGGGCAGTCAGTCGCGCAACAACCCGGGGTTCGGCCTGAGCCACCAAAGATTATCCCCAATAACCAAGCGCACTTGATGCCGGCATCACCGCATCCCAACCCGCCGCCAGAGCCCAGTAGTATGGGACAGTCCCCCGCAGCGGCTGAGTATTACGCAGATGACGCAGATGACGCAGACTCAGAGATCCAAGTACCCGAACAATCAAGTAGACCACCTTCAGGACCGACACCCAAACCTCCCAGGCCATTTATACAGGCTGAAGAGGTCTCAGGGCCTGTTGCAACCGTCACGCATGACGAAGGCAGCCCTCAAAATATTGGCTCTGGATCCTCTCCGTTGCTAGCCGAGTCCTCGACGCCTACAGTTGTCCCGCTTACTGGTGCAAACCCCTCCAAACCGCCCAATGTTCAAGGTATAGGTCCAGTAGTAAGTGCGGCAGAAGATTATATGACGGGTCACCATCATCAACCATCCCTGAACGTAGAACATTCCTCTCAGTCTGGCAATCAGAATAACGAGGAGGGTTTCCCGAACGTTGTGGGATACGCTGGTCCATCTATGTACCCCGATCACCTAAATGCACCACCCCTCTATACTGCTACTGAGGAGACAGCAGCGTACGCTGCCCACCCGTCGCATCCTCATCATGCAGCTCTCTACCACGGAGCACCATTTCAATCCGGGGGCTTGGCATTCCAGCAACGCCAACGGGGTCCGCTGGACAAATTCCTCGATTTTTGGCGTGACGCAGAAGGGGTTGGTATGTTCGAGGATTACACCGAAACCATTGGCGTTTGCAAGCACTGTTTTGAACCGGGCACCTCTTCGCGCGACGCACCTCGAAAACATTATTATAAACCCCGCCGTCGCTCTAGTGACCGCCACAGCAATGGCTCTCGAGTGGACAAAGCTCGTCGTTACTCTTCTTCAGAGGACGAAGGTCGACGTCGCAAGAAAATCTCCACAAGCTCCTGGCTGCCTACAGTGCTTGCTGGGTACACGCTCTTCAAGAACAAAGACTCTGAAAATACTTATAATGTTCGATCACGCCGACTCGTAAACCCGGCATCTGATAATGAGAACCCATCAATGCCCGAGGAGGGAAGTCACACATCTCGTGGCGTCTATAGGCGCTCACCCCGCCACTCCCATGAAGATCCGCCAGACTACGGATCTCGACGGCTGTCCCAGTCAAGCTCCCGATCTTCGTCAAGGTCTAAGAAGCATCCTGCACTCCAAATTGCAGCTGACACAGTAACTGGGCCTACAAGTCAGCCACGCCGCAGCCGGTCACCGTGGAAGAGTAAAAGTCGGAAATCCTCATCTTCTGAATCATCTTTTGTGGATATCTCTAGACCAGCTATGAAATCTGGGGTAAAAGGCGTGAGCTCATTTTTCACAGCCTATTCTGAGAATCGCAGGAAGTGGCAGGCTAAGAAGCGGAGAAGTATATTTTCATTCAACAACTCGTCATCATCCTCTCTAGATGCTGATTTAGCATTTGGAAATGGTTATGCCAAAAGACCACCAGGGAAATCTAAGAAACGAAGCAAGAAGAAGGATCACGACAATGTCGATGCGGCACTACTAGGATTAAGGGAGAGAGCAGCTGTAATGGCTGATTCAGCTTACCGTCCGAGTCAACGGACAGGTGAGCGACTGGTGAAAAAAGGACCTACATCCGCTCGTTTGGATTATTCGTCGTCTGCTACCAATGACGATGCTTGGGAGGACGTGGACTCAGGAGATCAATCGTCATCCAGTGTTAGTTCAGCACTTGCTTTCGGAAGTAGTGGACTTTATGGTAGTAATGCGTCACCATCTTCTGATTCAGGTACATCCTTGTGGGGCTGGAGATGGGGCAACAGGAAGGGCAAAAAGCAGAAGAGAACGAGGTCCAACGCACCAGGGAGTCGTTTCCCTACTAATGCTGCTGTAGCGGTGAAAACATCCGAATTAGCCCATGGCTATAACAATCGAGGGAGACGTACCAGCGAGGACATCGGAAATGGTGCTGGGAACCTTCAACATGTGGCTCCTGTGCCCACCAGCGATCCTTCACACTTTGACGCTGTCAACGTATGGCCTTCACAGCCGGCACTGATTAGCCGAGAACCCATCCCTCTTCAACAACCCCAACCGGTGGCACCGGTCTCTCAAGCTGTCTATACTTCGCAAGGAGAGACATTTCCTGCCTACACTACCCCACCTCGTCCTCCACCATTTGCCAATACCTTTACACAATATGACTACCAAGCTCAAGATTCACGGGATGGTCTTAGGGAGCAGGGAATCCCCCTTTACCATGAATCGACTGATATGCCATCAAAAGTTACCCGCCCCCCTCGACGAAGTGACTCATCGCCTGTGTTTCACACGGAGTCTTTAGAGGGTACATCGGGTGTGAAGCGTCGTTTTACCATGAAAGACCAGGGTTCTGTACAGTTTGACCTTACTAGGGAGCAAACAGATAGAGAGCGCCAAGCAGATCACCTTGAGCGTCTGAAGCGTGATTGTGGGCGCCAAGGAGTTCAACTCATTGATAGGGAGAGTGAGATGGCGACATGCGAGGAAAAGAATAGACCAAGACGCTACTATGATGGGCACGGTGATTCTGATTATGGCTCCCAGGAACAATACGCACGAGGACCTCGAGCGGAGAGAGGCCCAGCACCGTGGGTTGATCTAGGTACAGGTGTACTTTCCGGTCAAGGCTCTAACAGTGGCTCCTCCGAATCCAGCCAGAGAAGTCATTACGAACGGTCAGAGAAGCGGCGCGCAGAAAGACGCCGTGTGTCAGGTTCTGAAATATCATCTGGCTTTCCCATGCCTGAACGTTACAACGATGGTGTTGGCCAGCGCCCGAACCAGGTCACTGGGCAAGACCATGTTAAGACTTCAGTGTTTCGTGACATTCCTCGCAAGAAGCCAGTACATGATGATTATGCACAATTCTTCGCGCCTGAAGAGTTGCGGTATAGCCCTGACACATACGCGCGTCGGGAACCCGCTTCAGTGCCCACTATCATAGAAGTGGAGCCTGCAAGTCAAAGAATAAAGGCAACAGAGGAGCCCCATCCAAAATATCGCGGACTACCATGGCCAGTTCCAGAGCTCAAGCTGGTTGAGCCTACACCTCCTCAAAGCCAGAGTGGCTCCGTCAGAGATATTGCCTCTCCGATTCCATCGCCGCCAGAGGTCTCCGAAGATGATAGGACATCAAAGCGATCAACAACAGGCTCCCGCGTATCTTGGGGTAAGGATGAGACTCGCGAATATGAAGTCCCATCTACTTCCTCTGAACTCGACCCCGTCGATCATGACATTGCGGCAGACCGAGGACAGGAAAAGCAGACTGATAGTGAACCCGCCCGAGATATTGCGGCCATCCAAGAAGATCTGTCCAAAAACGCCACAGGCGAGTATGATCCTGATATTGAAGTCGCGGCAACAGCCGCTGCAGTTGCTGCAGCCTTGGGTGTTGAGCCCTCCTTTGTGTCGGATATCAGGGAAAAGCTCATCTTTCCGTCCGGAGCTCGTGACTGTGCTGGTGGGGCGGCAACACCCGATGATGGAACGAAGCAGCCAATTTTAGGGAAATCCGTTGCTAACGGCCCACTTTACTCTGAGCCAGTGTCGGTGAGTGACGGTGTTAAAACGTTTCATGACGATCAACCTCCATCATCAATTGCGCAAGAAGTGATCCAGCAGCTCACCGGAGAGCAAGCACCTGAGGTGGGTGGACTTTCCGGAAGGGCTGTGGAAAAGCCGAATGAGGAATGGCAAACGTTGGTCTTTCGTGACAAGCGTTCTGGACCCGAGTCACCTCCAGAGGAAGTTTTGCATATGCCTAATGGATCCGAACTAGAGGAGTCAACCAGCCAGCGGGAGCCGCATGGGTCTACACAAGAACCAGCTCAGGATGATTCAATGTCAATTATCTCAGCTGCCATACCTAGACATAGTGAGAAACCGATGGAGGAAGCTGGTTACCGCAAAGACAGTCGCGAACCTGACATCCCTAGTAGAGCCAGTCCACCTGCCATTGAAGAGGGCTCTACTATTGGAAGGAAGAAGCCAAAGAAAAGACATTCAAAGCGGGATAGCGATGCTTTCGATGACTCCATCTCTGTGATATCTTCCCCAGCCAGAGTTGGAGAGACTAGTGATCGCGTCAGAAGTGCAGATGAACAGACAAAAGAAAACAGGGCAGGTGGTCTCTTAAGTAATATATTCGGCTCTAAAGTTTCTGAGCCGGTAGCAAGCGATAGCTATCCGTCTCGCGAGGTTCAGTCCGAAGTCGGGCCACCGGGTTCCGGGGAGTCTAGACGCCAACGAAGGGAGAAAAAGCGGCGGCAAAAGTACGGAGAATTAGCAGACTTGGGTCAATCAACCGAAAGTGAGAAGGTATGACTCTAGCTGTTTTCGTTGTTCGTAAACTGTGATTTACTCAGTTTATTCCTATATTCGATCTTAAGCAAGATGTATAATACATGTACTAAATATCTTCCTTTCCATTTTCTTTGTACGCAGGACCGAACAATATCGCAAGACGGAGACGATCAGCCGTCTTTTTTAGCTGGAAGCCCCGAAATGCCATACCAGGTTGGCGATGGTGATCGTGAAGGTGCTTCGGGGCATTTTTCCTCGACCAATGCAGAACTCACAGGATTGGGACTAGATGTTTTCGAACAGCGGCCAAGAAGTCGTTCGGCATCACCCCCTGCATCGGGGAGATCTATCGACCTAAGCCCGAAGTCTCAGAGTAGACCAAATTCGCCTCAGTTAGGCCGGGGACACGAAGAGGTCCAGGGCCAGCAGTCGCGGCGGTCATCCGGAGTTCGACCGACAGATTCTCCTACCGCAGTCCCTTTGCACTTTCGTCGGCCCCCAACCACATCACCACGGGCCCATCGTTCGCCGTCAGCCGGCTCGATTGCAGCGCCATCCCCTGGCTCTCCAACAGGGCGTTCTCGGCGTCCAGCTTCTGGTGAATTTATATACTCACGAGAGATGCGACCTCTGTGGCTTGTCGAGCACCATGGTTGCAAACATGAAGCAGAGGCCGAGGAACCGTTACCTTCTCTACCATCAAGTAAGACGTCATCAGCAAATGCATCCGCCGAGAACCTCGCATCTCTGCAGGACGAGAAGAACTGGGAAAAGCTTGATTTGAGCCCCAGTATTCATAGAGACCAACGGCCTATTGACGTTGATATGCCCTCTAATCCTCAACACGGAGTGCTTGGTTCCGAGGAAGTAACACCTACTGCCGCAAATTTCGGACAGATGAATACCAATCAGCTACATCGGAAGGATAAGCCCAAGTACGAGTTTCATTCTCCCTCTGAACTTCTCCAGGACCCATCCACATATCCAGAGCTGCCCCCTTCTCCAACAATGGGGCCTCTTCCTTCTGCCGAGGGCTCTGCAGTCGGCGTAAAAGGCGATGGCGGGCTAGAGCGTAGCCTGGATAACCTTCCACCTCTACCTATGTCCCGACCTTCTACTCCTGAAAATGAACAACCTCGTGCTTCGGACGCTGCTGAAGGATATCCGACTGGAGAGCTGATAGCTCCTGGCCTTGGAGCGCCGAGAGCCTCCGGAAATGATACTCCTTACGCAGATGTCGACACGCCTAAGATGAAGGTACTGGACGGCGATCTACCGGATCTTCAGCCATCTGACGAGAAAACACTGACAAAAGCCACCCAGGGTAGCATTGAGTCAGGCGATGCTCTAATGTCTCATAAATCAACTTCCCGGGGTCTGCCAGACGAGGTTGTTCCTGTGCTTCCAGCTGTCCAAATCCCAATGACCGATGCACTAGAGAAAAGTAGAGAGGATCCAGGACATGCTGCTACCAGCCCCGTTGACGTTGTCAATGTCGCAATTGCAGATCCTTTGCTACTTGCTGATGAGGAATGTGCATTATCTGCCGAACCGTTACAAGCTGTAACTACTGACGAGACAAAGATGGGAATCACTGCTACAACAGATGAGAAAGCACAACCACAAGAGGCACAGCCTGGAATTCAAACTGAGTCACAAAAGTCTGGAACGGGAGATAATGTGCCATTGGCAAACGCCGAGGCTAAACTTGAGTCTAATCCTAACCTCACTTCTGCCAAGATTACGTCTGTTGAAGATGAAGAAACAGAGATTGTTGACGGAGCAACTGTGACAGGATCACCCGAGCCGACAACTGGGAGCACAGACAAGCCTGCCGATGAAGCAGTTCAAGCGCCCACTGAAGAACTAATAGTGGATCCTCCTTCGCCACGTTTATCGAAAAAGAAGAAGAAAAAAGATAAAAAGAAAAATTCCAAGAGCGTGAATATACATGAACAGGAGCTACAAGATACGGCAGCCACAGCTCGTGAAGTCCCTTCAACCCCCGAAGATGCTGAGAAAATGGATGGAGCAATTACTCCAGGAGAATCTTCAACTGAACAGATTTCTCCACCAGATGGTACCGAGAAAGTTCCAGAAGTTGAGCTAGAGTCCGCCACAGACCTCTCCAAGCCAGACGAGGCAGCCAATGTACAAGCACCTGTGGATATGCCTGTTTCTGAACCCCAGCCTGTTGTAGATACTACCAAAACCGAAGACGCACTTGTTGCTGAAAACGAGCTTATTGTGAAGGACCTCAAAGCCGGGGAAGAAACGGGTACACAAGTAATTGAGAGACGCCCGCTTTCGAACTGGGAGCCTACTGTCCAGGCCGAAAACCTACAAAACGTCGTTGACCTAGCGGCATCCATAAATCCATCTGAGCATGAGCCTTCTTTGGAGATACCGCAGGCAGAAGATGCTCCCCTAGCTGCGGATACTTCAGCAACTGAACAGAAACCTGATTCAGAGGTCTTGGGGACGGATGCGGCGCGGGCAACGCAGGCACCCCAGGCTACTACGGTCCCAGTGCAAGGGTTATCCAAAGCCGAAGATACTCTTATCATTACAGATGTCCTTTTGCCTGAGCAGGCGATGCCCAAGGCAGAAGACGACGCTCACCAGGAAAGCGTAGAATCGGATATAATATTGGATCCTAATGCGAAGCGAACGTCTACTGAGAGAGAAGCAGCCGCAAATACAGATGTCCCTACCAACATTTTAGAGAGTGACGAGGACAGGAGGAAAGAGAGCAAGAGCTTTGATGCAAATGAGAGCGCCAAAGATCTTGGTGAGGCGGAAATCGTGACGTCCAGCAACACTGAACCAGTGATTACTTCGCAAGCAGGTGAAGAGCCTTCAATATCTATCATTGATGATTATCAGCCTGTGAAAGAAGCTTTACTTCGTTCCGAAGAAGAAATCACCTCCAGCGCTGAACATCCCGTTCAAAGTACAATGGAGGGAGCTGAAACCCTGGATGTTAGACGGCAGGGTGCTGTCCTGCCTGAGACACCCTTTGAACACGCAGGGGAGCTTGACAAACAAGATAAAGAATACCGACAGTCAGAACCACAAGACTTGACAGAACATAATGCCTCCGCTCGCGATGAAGCCCCGGGAGTTGTCTATGAACCTAGCACTGCAGTGCTCGAGCAGCCTATGGAAGCTGCGTCTGTGCGTGGCCTTGGCGGTAACAATAGTCCTGCAGTAGATTTGCAGGAGGGGTTAACCACCGAAATGAGTACCGTTGACCCTGCGCCGGTCGAATCTGAACCCGGACCATTACAATTGGAAAGTGAGCGAGCTACCACAACAGAAGAGGCCAAAGCACCAATGGAACCGGGCTCCGGAAAGATACCGCCAGAACAACAGCAGATGCAGGGCATTCCTGCGCCTGTTGAACCAATATCTTCTCCCGAGCAGGCGGCTGAAATTGATGAGGCTGGTACAAGAGATACTGACGTTACCGACACGCCAACTGAAACTTTCTTGTCGCGACGAAGCAGCAAGAAGAACAAGAAGAAAAGTAAGCGCGATAGTGCTACGGAGCCACCCGTGGAGAAAGGGACGGACGATGTCCCACCTGGTGTGCCCTCTAATGAAGAAGCCATTCCCCAGGTGGGAGACGAACCTGCTGTGCCCCTCAAAGACGAGCCTGAAGCAAGGCAGCCCGAGGAAGCCCCGGGTAATGTATATAAGGGTGCTATGGACGTTTCACCTGAAACAACAGCAGGTGCCGCTGCAGATACACCAGCTGAGTCTCAGGATGCTGGCTTGGTGGAGACAGGCCAGAAAGCCGGCCCAGAGGAAGCTCCGGAGGGACAGCCAATGAAGAAGGGCAAAAAGAAAAAGAAAAATCGCAAATCCATATCTTCTGATTCTCAAGCTGTGGCCGATGCGGAGACCCGACGTCCACCCTCCGCTGAGGGGCTTCCTGCCGAGACCCTACTGACGGAAACAAGCGGTGTGGTTCATCCCACGGATGGCAGGCAGATACCACAGGAAGCTACTGCGACTAAAGAGGTAACAGAGACGACTGAAGCAGTAGACGCTATTCCAGCAGCAGAAAATGAGTCCAATGTATCTGTGGAGAACCGCGCTGAGACCAATGATAGTACACCACATATGGTTGAGCATGTCCCAGACGACCCTGTGCCTGACCCCGAACCTGAAGCAGCGGAATCTACAGCGACAGACAAGAAGAACAAGAAAAAGAAGAAAAAGAAACAAAGCTTGCAGTCCGCACCCGACGCTCATGTAGAAGCTGCTGAACCCACGTCGAGCGCAGAAGTCGCAAATCCAAACATAGACGGTGCTGTTGCTACCGAAAAGGCCCCAGCTATGGAGGGTCAAGAACTAGTTCTGGAGGAGACCACTGGAGGCGAACAGGCTTTCGACGTAACCGAAGCCGCGGAAGACACGGCTTCACCAGGAGCAGCGTCCGGAATGACTGCAGCTCAAAAGAAGAAGGCTAAGAAAGAAAAAAAGAAGCAACGCAAATCCGCTTTGTTGGATGAACCACCAGCTTTTGACCCCGCTTCTGATCCGAGCCCAGAAAATGCTTCTTTAGAACTTGACCTAACCTCTGTTGGAGAAACTGCCTCTGTCAAAGGACCTGAGGCACATGATGCTTCAATTGAGAGACCGACAGTTGTAGATGAGCTGGCGAGTGAACAACCTCGGGTTGAAACGGTCACAGATACAGAACCCGACGTTGCGTTGAAAGAGGACTTGAACGAGCGATACCAAGAACCTGCGCAGCAAGAACCCAAAGAAACGCCCACAGACAATACTGGTATTTCAGCAATTGAAGCAGGAAATTTAGAGCTCGGCCAAGCACAGCTTACAGATCATACACCTTCCGACTTGGAAGGTACCCCTGCGAATGAAGAGCATTCAGGAGCCGATACTGTGGAAAGACACACGGTTGGAAGTTTGGGAATTGAACAAGAGGCCACACTTGAAAAGCCAGCTGAGATAGAGCCTGGCAACTCCACGCTCGATGCTGCACCAACTATGACTGCGGACACGGCTCTGGAGCAACCTAAGGAAGAAGCACCAAGCGATGAAGCTGCCCCATCACACACTGCAGATGCCGAAGTCTCCTTGGCCGATGTTATGCCACAAGACGCTCCAGAGCAACCTCAGAAGGGGATTCTTAGTGATGAAGCTGCCCCAGAACAGACTGAAGTTACCCAGGTCTCCTTGACTGACGTTATGACGCAAGACGCAGTTATTGAGGAAGCTGGAGCTTTTACTTCCAAGAGGTCTAAGAAGGATAAAAAAAAAAAGAAGAAACAACAGTCAAATTCCTTGGAAGATGATCAGCCTGCGGCCACTAGGGAAGGGATTGTAGAAGAGCCTTCTGATGCACGTTCGGATTCACTTGAAATTTCCGGGCAACCACAACTTTCTCTCCCTGATAATGTTGCAGGAGAGCCACAATATGCCTTTTCTGAAAAGCCTACGCAACAGTCGGAAATAAATAAGCCCGAGTCCGCTGAGTCTCCAGAACAGGCCGACCTCACAGGGCCTGTAGAGTTGGAACCTATGGCGGATACCCAGGAATCAATCTCCAAGAAGAAGGCCAAGAAGGATAGGAAAAAGCGCAAGTCTGTTTCTTTCTCAAACAACGAACAGGAGGCTCCCACGAAGTCATCTGAAACCACGGAAGCAACAGGAGCGAGTCGGCATGTTACAGAAGCTAGCCAACCTCCAGAGCAGACAAATAAGGAAATGGCAGAAGCCAGTGCCCTAGTTCAACCAAGCCAGGAAAATGTTGATAGCACTACTGCCGACGAGGTACAGCCTGGAGAAACAGCTGCAGACCTACCCAAAGACATTTCTATAGTCGCACTTGGGGAGGATGGTTTAGAGTCGAACAAGGAGGTCGTACCACACGACGAACAAGTTACTCAGCTGTACAAGGATTCTGTTACCGAAGCACAAGCCAGCACATTAGGGCCCATAGACCCTGATCCTATTGGTCAGACGCCTCCAATGGCGACAGAGCCAGTAAATGAAACTACAGTTCCTGGAGCAGGAGGATATACCAATGATGATGCTTCAGTGATAGAATCCCCTGGGGAACAAGTACAGCAGGATGCAAGCATTCTGACCGCGCCAGAGCTTAGCGGGAAACATGAAGTCGAGTCCTCTCCAGAAGCGCCTGTACCTGAAACACCCTCTACTTCCGTGCAGGAATCTACCGTGGTAGTCCAGGATGCTGAACAAGAGGGTGCCCCCCCAAAGGCAAAAAAAGACAAGAAGAAGAAAAAGAAACGCAAGACCCAAGAAACAATTGAGAACGAGGCAACTGTCGTACCTGAATCAAGCATCGAAGAGGCACCCGTGCAAGCTGAAGAGGATAACTGTGCTGCAGCTCCGGGGATTATCGAAGAGGCAATTGAGCCAAACAATGTTGCGAAGGCTTCCGAAATTTCCAGTCAAGACGTGCCATCTTTGATGCCGGAGAGTATTGTCGAACATACGCGAGCTGAAACCGAACAGGCAGTTGATGTTACTGTTCACGAAATGAAGGAGTCGGAAGGAACCGAACAGCAGGCGAGGGAGCAGCCTGAAGATCCCCAGAATGATGGCGCACCGGTTATGTCGGCGAAAGAAAGGAAAAAGGCGAAAAGGAAGGAAAAAAAGCGCCAGTCAAAAAACCTGGATGGTAGCAGTGCTGCCCCCAATGCCGCGGCGGAGTCTGCCTCAATTGTACCGGAAGAAAAGACTCAAGGTCCCTTGATAAATGCGAGCACCACTTCAGCTGAAGATGGCACGCATGATGCAACCGAAATCCAAGTCTCCGCTGAATTGAAACCCTCAGACCCTTCGGTTGATACGGCAACCCCACCTGCTGAAGATGACGGTAAAGAAAATCAGTCCCACGGCACCGAGTCCCACGGCGAGAACGATAAGAATCTGTTTTGGACTGATCACATGGTATCTTCGCAGGTAGATCAACGGCAAGCCACTCCCTTCGACTCTCCCATCCAACCCGTGCTTGAGAATCCCGAAGCCGAAAAAGTAGCTGTCTCCGGCGAATCAGTCCCACTGTCTGAGGAAATTGAGGTAGGAACTGAGGATCATGCGTCAATGACGGAGCAGGAGGCCACTAGCGAGGTAGATAGGGTTTTCCTTGAGCACCTGCCTACTGAAGGCTTTTCAGCGGAGGCAGACGAAAGTGGCAAGACACTTACGCCAATTGGGGACGAGTTAGCGAGTCAGCGAGACACGACTACGGAAATCACGGGCCAAGGGACTATGAAAGATACGACGCCGGCCCAGACGGATGAGAAGCTTGAAGAAAGGGATAAAGAAGCTGTGCTTGAAGCATCTCTCGCTGCTGTTGAGGTACCGGACGCTTCCGTGGACGGTCCACAAGCAACAAATGAAAGAGCCGTTTCTCTCTCCCCTGCTGAAGCTGGCGATCCCGAAGACCTGCGAGAGGCAAGCAACAGTTTAGCTATTGACGTCGAGAAGCTTGAAGCAACAGCGCCTTGGAAGGAATTACATCAGGAGCAACGATCAGAAGATCCTCAACCAGAGCATACTTTTTCTGAGTCTAATCTATTCTCTACAACATTGCCCGAACATGGCACGCGCGAAGCCAAAAAATCGGAACTGCAAGTGGGCAGCGCTGGACCAGCCCATGCAAGTGACGCAAAGGAAGACGAGACTGCGAGCCCTAGAGAAACGAGACCGGAAAGAGTTGATCTCGTTTTAGACTCACTAACAGCGGAAGAGTCTCACTGCGGTGGTGCAGAGATGGCTAACGCGTCGAAGTCTGCCAAGGAGGCCTCGAGTGAGATACAGGCAGAGCCCGGGAACTGTTTGTCAGTTGGCTCAGGCGAGGAGAACAGGGATGTGTTAGATACAGCAGGAGAGAAACCAGATGACATAGAGACAATCGCTGAACTTTCGGAAACCAATAAAGGGGCAACATTAGATCCCGTGGAATCCTTGGGTTCAGGAAGTCAACCATTCGCGGAGAAGGAACAACTGCAAGCTAACAATGAACCTACACCCGAACAGTTGAGCCACAAAGAACTGACTGATGGTGCTAAAAAAGGTGAAGAGGAAAATATGACGCAGCCTTTGGACCATAACGCGTCGAAAAAACCGAAGAAGAAAGCGAAGAAACAAGCCAGAGAAACGTCAATAGAAACCGCTAGTTCTTCACTTGCCGAGTCCAAAAGAGAAATAAATGCAGAAAGCGGCCCTGAAACAATAGTCGGCTCCTCGGCAATGGCTGATGCCGCTGAATCCAGCTTGGCACCTGAAGAAAAGCCCATGCAGGGCCAAGAAGTGCAAGGTCCACAGCGCGAGCCAGGCGTATCGAAGCCGGCATTCGAGGCTGTATCTACAACCGAAGAAAGAAGTCCATCTATGGCTAGGGAGTGCCCTGGCCAGACTCAGGCCACGCATGAGTTACAGGAGGGAGAGGGCAAAGACGCTGAAGCCCAGATAAAATTGAGCAGTCAGACTTCCGAGGGATGCGATCTTGAGGCAGCCAAAGATCGGACTGGAGGGCAACCCACGCAACAAGAAACTCCAGTTCCCAGGACTGTATCAAAAGAGGAGCAAGAGAGGTCTAAGCAAGAGGCTGAGCTGCAGGTTCCTGAGCAAACAGAGCAACCAGCATCAGGGCTTAATACCGAGTCTGCTGAGGGGGGCCTACTTAGTCAGGAAGCAAAGCCAGAGAGTTCGGAGCCTCCAATGGCTGAAGCAACCAGCGCAGAAGATTTTCCTTCTGAAACATCATCTCGCGAGAACAAGCAGAAGAGTGAAGATGACATGAGCGTAGAGACCAAGGAGCCAGAAGAAACTGGAAGTGTTAGTGAAGATGCAAACGTGAGGCCTTCCCAAAACCAGTGTCATTCGGAGACATTGGTAACGGAGAGGTCTGCAAAGGACAATGAATGGCCTTTGATAGATTGGGAGAAGGAAAGAGTCGATGCTTTAGAACAGACTCCCCAATCTTCACCTGAAGCTGTCGCGGCCCCATTTGAGCCAGGTATTGCCGATTTCGATGAGTTTGCTATTCCAGAAGGGCTAACTAGATAACCAGACGAGTCGGCTGAAGCCATAAAGGCGAAGGCAAATATGGGGCCGCAAGGACAAGGTTCTGAGGCAAAGCTTGCGACTCCAGAAGCAATTGTCGAAACAGCGGAGTATGTTGCTGACCAATTGGTTCCATCAACGGAGGAGCCCGGAACGGAGCCAGTCTCGAAAGCGACCCGAGAGCATACCCTAGACGATGCAGAAGGCTCTATTCCCGGGAAGCAGGCGATGGGAGGCCCTGGCTCGGTTTCCCGGAAGCAAAGCAAAATTGCCAGTATATTCCCTAACTTGGAACGAGGGGCATTTCGGCGACCTATCACCACCGAGTCGTCGGAGTCAGTAAAAGATGGGGCTGAGGATGAGACCAATGACCAAGGAGTGAGTCGCGGAGACGCGATGCAGGTCTCGGAAGCACTCATCGCTACCACTGATGGTAAGGACAACGACCACTTGGCGAATGCACTTGTGAGTTCAGAGCGACCGACTACTGCTACGCTAGAGGACCTCCCAGAAGAGGCTACGATTCATGATATCCAAACGCCAGTTGCATCTCGTTCAGTTCAAGGAGACCACGATGACTCTAAGGATGTTCGATATACACAAGCTGAATTAACTGAGACAGATTCTCTTTCGCGGGAAATTCCATTATATGCGCCAATACCAATCCACGAGCAACCGTCTGCATTTATCAGCTCCTCGTCGAATGCTATGTGTATAGATCGGCAAGCAAGCCCCGAGTCTCTCTCTAAGCTTGGCTGCAGCCCTTCAATCCAGAGAACGTGCGATCCTTCCCCGTGGCCAAAGCCATCTGAAGAAAATACATCACCTGCACAACCAAACAGCACACTGCCATCCTCAGCCTTTGGGGTGCCATCGGTGGTAGAAAGAGGCGCAATCTCCCCTCCACGGACCCCATTGCAACCTATTGCAGAACATGGACCAGTTGATCGGACAAGGACCCCCATAGGAGCCATGCGTCAGGGACACGGAACGTCCTGCTTGGAGATGAAGCCAGAACATGTGCTTCCGGCGCCCGAGACACCGGTCAGGAAATTTACAGACAACGCTCTGGCGCGCCAGGCATGGCCTACACTTGACAGGGATGAAGACCAAGACTTTCACATCAGGAAGCGTGGTTCGGCCCGATCTATTGACCGCGAATGGCCTGCGGAAGCCGTTCAAACACCGGAAAGAGGCATACCAATCCTGAGACCGAGCAGTATCAGTAGCATTAAAAGCGTGCACAGCGCACACTCCCAGCGGTCGCTACGACGGATGGATCGCAGCGCTGGCAGCGATTTGCGGGCGGCGAGCCAAGCACAAAGGGGCGCCCGCCAATCATCGCGCAGCCCCCAGCCACCACCTGTCGAGGCCCCTCCTTCCGACCTCAATATTGAGCACATAGCTTCCTCCTCTTCCTACGACCCCGTCACCGATAAGGGCAAACGGCCCCTGCGAGCCATGACCGATGTTTACGTAAGTAGTCTTGGTTACCATATAATCTTTTCCTGTGGTTTAGTCAACTCACATTTGTTTACCTAGGAGGGTTGGGGGGAAACGCCGAACTCACCTCGGTCGCCTAGCCGACCGCCCAGCATCCGGCACCGTCGAAGCATGCAACACCTACAAGAACTTGAGACTCGCCTCGACCAACTCATATCAGAAAATCGCTTACTTGTTGCTGCGCGAGAAGCTGCTGAAGACAAGCTCCGCAATGCAAGTGTTGCTCGTCGCAAGAGTGACCATGCGCTCAACGAGCGAGCTGCAGACTTGCGAGACAGGGAAGCTGAAGTGGAACAACTCAAGAATTCAGTAGAATGGCTTCAGAAAGAAGTATCTCGGTTGACTGAAGAAAACGAAGGGCTGACTGTTGCGAACTCCAACATTACCGTCGCCCATGCTGCCGAGATTCAAACCATACGGGCGTCATCAAACCGTGAGCTAGACGATTTGCGCCTACAGAACCAGCAGTTGTCGAACGAAATGCAAGATAGAGTACGTCAGCAGATCGATGCGGCACTGACTCAGAAAAATATGGAGCTGCGCAGGTTGCGAGAGGACTTGGAGAGCGCCCGGGACAAAGTGAAGGAACTACAACAACAGATCGCCGCATCCGTGCAAGATAGCGTGTTAGTCTTCAGGGATGAGGATTACTTCGACGCAGCGTGCCAAAAACTGTGTGGCCATGTTCAACAATGGGTGCTACGCTTCTCTAAACACTCCGACCTGCGCCGCTGTCGCAAGCTCGACGATCTTCAGGACGAAAAAATAGCAGACCGGTTTGAAAATGCTATACTGGATGGATCCGATACTGATGTCTATCTCTCTGACCGGGTTCGTCGACGCGACGTATTTATGTCGGTGGCAATGACAATGGTGTGGGAGTTTATTTTCACTCGCTACCTGTTCGGCATGGACCGTGAACAACGGCAAAAGCTCAAGTCTCTTGAAAAACAGCTAGGCGAGGTAGGCCCGCGCGGTGCAGTTCATCGTTGGAGGGCTACTACCCTAAGCCTTCTCTCAAAACGATCTACTTTCGCCCGCCAGCGTCAAAACGATACAGAAGCTGTGGCCTTGGAGATCTTTGAGACGCTGTCACGTCTTCTTCCACCACCGAGCAATGTAGAGCCCCAGCTTCTAGAGTCCCTGCGCAAGGTACTGAGGGTTGCAGTCGACCTATCTATTGAAATGCGCACGCAGCTGGCGGAATACATCATGCTCCCTCCACTACAACCTGAGTACAATACCAACGGCGACCTTGCACGAAAAGTCTATTTCAATGCGTCCCTAATGAACGAGCGCAGCGGCGAAACTACTTCAAATGAGGAGTTGGAGTCCCAACAAGCTGTGGTCCGGGTTGTCTTGTTCCCTTTGGTAGTGAAGAAGGGCAATGACGCAGGTGAAGGCGAAGATGAAGTAGTTGTTTGCCCGGCGCAAGTGCTCGTTGCACGTTCTCCTAAAGATAAGAAGGTTACCAGAATGCTCAGTGGTGACCGAATGTCCCTGGATGGCACCAGGTCAATTCACAGTATCGCTCCGTCGTCGACCATGGACATGAGCAATGTGATTTGAGGCGTCACACTCGATCATATCTCGCCATGGGCCCACCTCGGCCGTTGCTGATGGGCAAAGATCATTGAGAAAACAACAGAGTGGTTATATTTTCTTTTGGGGATGGCAAATGGTATAGTAGTTGGGGCGTCAGGTCAAAGATGGATGGTTGGATAATTGGTCAATACGGCTCGGTAATACAAAAGGTAATAATAATCGAGATGGGAGTGGGAACTGTTTTTTTTTTTTTTTTCTTTTTTCTTTTACGTTTTCTTTCTGTCGTCCAAGTTACCCCCTTTTTCTTGCTTTAACACTGTTACTTTTTTATGATGACTATGACGATGCCAACATCTCCGTCTGCTTTCTAGAGCTTATGATGTCACGGCCTGTTTATTTTTCTCTTCTTGATATAATGACTGCTTTTATGTATATGAGAAACGAGCTGGATCATGTTCATTATCTAAGGACTCTCGTTCGAGGGCATACTTATATGGTGTACTTATGTACTTATATAAATATTTTGTTCATTTTGATACCATGCAATGTCAATGAATTAGGTTTCATAGGGCCCGTAGGGTAGAAAAGCGGAGTGCTGACCTCATACATCATACATACCGAAAGTTAAAGCTCAAAAGAAACAATCGTGGGGCCTGAGGCTGACGCAAACCAAATTTCCAAAAACTGGGCTGTGCCTCGACCTCCCTTTCCCACGCACTCTCTCACACTCGCCGTTCGACACCGTCTTTTCTCCTGCAGCTCAGGCGACTATTTTCTTCCAGCGAGCGTCTCTTTCATGGAGTCCGCCCTTACTCTTATCCATTTCCCCATGTCCCACCGCAACTCCCCACAGGTTCCATTTGCGCCAATCGTTGCTTCTCGCCCCGTGTTTCGGTGAATTGGCGTCGACAATGCTGGATTCTGTTACACTGGGCCTATCACAACTGCATACACATTGAACGGGGATTTGGTTAAAATCCGGTACTTTATTGCCCAATTTAGGGTAGGCTTGTGCTCTACAAGGGAGATAAGCATACTCGGCTTTCTTCGGTCTACCAATCACCGTGGATATCTCGCGTACTGCACCCTCCGATCAGCATGGCTGACGCTCCATCTGCTGCGTATCAAACTGGTTCCAATCATGGTTTATCTTCTTCACAAGATGGCCACTCCGTCAACTCACGTCCAGACACTCGCCGCTCCACTACTTATGATCCCTTAGCTTCCGAAACGACCCAAGACCCTCAGGTAGATAACAAAGCCACCACGGGAAAACGTGCGAAACGGAAGAAGCATCGGAAACGTCGTAATCGTCGGCAATCTTTCATCAGTGTCGAAGACCCTCATGCCGGAGCTCCTACTACCCCGGGGCCCGAAGTGGAACATATGGCTATGATGGCGGATCAGACCAAGTCTCGAGGCGCGCTTCCGTTCTACAGGCTGGGGAGAGACTTAAGTAGCACTAGTCTGGAAAGTGAAGCTTTACTGGACCATAGGTACGTGTTGTCTTCGGTGCTACTGTCTATGCTAGTTTTATCACTGACCCAAGTCCGGGATTGCCCAGGAATCAACCCATGATGCGGCCGCGCAGAGACAGCCGACTTGCTCAATCTTTTCGACCCGGGTCCTTGTCCACTACAGTCCGTACCGGTGATTTGGGCTCTCGTAATCAGCCGTCTGGTACAAGAACTCTTCCCGTGGATGATGACAGCGATGACCCTGATCCTGTGGATGATCGAACACCGTTGATGCGCCCGTCATCCGCTCATAGGCCCAATATCTCTCGATACGGAACCGATTCGAAGTCAATTCCATTCAGTTTTCGCCAACGACGTTCATCGGTCCAAACGAACTCGTCCCGATGCTCACCTCGTCGTATCCCGAGCCCCGGGCTTCCCGAACAGGACCGCGATTATGATATCAACAATCCACCGTCGATACCAACTTCGCCGAAGCTTGGGGCGGACATGGGCTATGATGATGCGGTTGTGACGGGGGCGGATTTTGATTTCTCGTTGGCCAAGTCTATTGACAATCGAATGGAATCGATGTCCCGATCACACGACATGGTAATTGATGTTGAAAGCGGTACCAATCGAATCCGAAGCTCTCCCCCATCTTCCGTGTCGCCGCGGCATCGTCCTCCACAAGAAGGTCTCCTTCGACGTCGAACTTTACCTGTCGAAGAAGATGTTTGTTTTCCGACTGAGGAAGTATCCGAACTGGCCGAGGAGGACGCAACAAGAGTACCGCGTGAAACTGAGCGTCGGAGACGGCGGCGCAGAGAATGGCCTGACCTATCAGTTTTGGAGGAATGGAGCCGCGAGGAAAAGGAGGAGCGTACGGGCGACTTTCGAGCAAAGAAGATTAGCGAGCCTGTCCTTATCGAAGGTCGTCTGCGCCCACAGTATCAGCTTTGGCGACGCGAGGAAGAGGAGGCTCCTTATCGATTTACATACTTCAATGAGGAATTCCAAAGTACGATACACGCCCAGACAATATCAGAGCTGGTACAACCGGGAGGCAGTTTTCGCGAGCTTTTTATCCCTGACCCTCCCGAATTGGAGGTTTCTTCAGACGAAGAGACGGATTCCGATCATGACCCTGAAGAAGAGGCCTTTGACCATAAACATCACAACAACCATGGTTTTGATGGAAACAGGGCTTCGCCATTTATTAGCAGTCACCATGATAATATGAGCGGCCCTAAGCAACAACCTCGTATGTCTATCATCAGCGAAGCTGTATCTGAAGCACGCACGTCAGCAAATGCCTCCCCGTCTCGACGGCCGCTGCAACAAACGAAGCCCAAAAGGTATGGGCCCCGGCCAACCTTCTGGCTTGATGTCCTTTGCCCTACGGATGCAGAGATGCGAGTGATTGCCAAAGCCTTCGGGGTCCACGCGCTCACAGCAGAGGACATCATGATGCAAGAGGCACGGGAGAAGGTTGAACTGTTTCGGAATTATTATTTTGTCAATTACCGAACCTTCGATCAAGACCCAAATAGTGAGAACTATCTGCAACCAGTGAATATGTACGTGGTTGTGTTTCGAGAAGGAGTCTTGTCCTTCCATTTTTCTCAGACACCTCACCCGGCGAATGTACGCCGGCGGATCCGTCAACTGATGGACTACTTGATCCTAAGCTCTGATTGGATATCGTATGCCATAATTGATGATATTACCGACGTCTTCGGCCCGCTGATCCAGGCTATCGAGGATGAAGTCGACGAGATTGATGGCATGATCATGAAAATGCACTCCCCTGAGCCGGTAATGGGCCAAAACAGCAAGCTAGAGGACGATGGTGTTGAAGCCTCGACTACATTAGCCCCGGGTGAGGTGCTTCGAAGGGTAGGGGTTTGTCGGAAGAAAGTGATGGGCATGTATCGACTGCTGAGCAACAAGGCAGACGTTGTCAAAGGCTTTGCCAAGCGGTGCAACGAGCAGTGGGAAGTGGCGCCGAAGTCAGAGATTGGCCTATACTTGGGAGACATCCAGGATCACATCATGACAATGACGAGTAGCTTAACCTACTACGAGACGTATGTTAAAACTCCTCTTTCTAGGATGTTTATAACTGACCCAACCATCAAGGCTGCTGTCCCGAGCACATTCCAATTATCTCGCACAGATCAACATTCTCATGAATGAGCGTCAGGAACAGACGGCGGATGTATTAGGCAAGTTGACCGTGCTGGGAACAATCGTTCTTCCACTTAACATTATTTGTGGCATGTGGGGGATGAACGTCAAGGTACCGGGTCAGGATGTGGATAGCTTGACGTGGTTCTGGTCGAGTAGGTTTCCCTTGCTCACACACAACTAAATGATTGACTAATATCCTATCTCTGATCAGTTACGGCTGGTTTAATCATGTTCGCCTTTGCGTCTTTTCTCATTGCCAAACGGGTGTATAAAATTGTATAGCTTACAATGTGACAACGCATTGCACCTTGGAAATCAGTTTACGATGTGTCCAGTAATCCCCAGTCTACATTTGTCTAAAGGGGCTTTATTGATGTTATATGCGGCCATGTACTATTGGCCAGATCTCTGTTTGGGCTTGTATATAGATTGATGACTTGGAGCTATTTTCCTCCCTTTTATTTAAGGAAAAATACAATGAATTAATAGTAAAGTAAACAACAGATAATTTTAACTCTTTTTTTTAAAAAAAAAAAAAAAAAAAATACAAATACAAATACAAACACAAACACAAACATAAAAACACGAAAAGGAGAATTCTTTCCGCCTTTTTTATGAACTTGGACATGGTTGGTTTTGCCTTCAAGTTCAATCAAACGATGTGGGGTTTGTTTATGTCTGTATGTAACATTGATTCTTTTTTTTCTTTTCTTTTTTTTTTCCCCAAGATTTTAGCTAGCACGGGGAATACATAGTAAGTTAGCTTTGAGAAAGTACACAGTGTGATTCTTCCATTCTCATGAGGTCATGATGACTGAGTATTAAATTTGAGTAATTCGTCCCGTTTCTTTTTTGTAACAGTAATTTTCCTTCCCGGCGTGTCAGCGAAGGCTCTGGTTTTTTTTTTTTTTTTCTCCCTTTGAGTAGGTGAATAACCTTTTTAGCTTTTTGGAACTTTCCGGGCCAGGTTCTTCATCATTACCGCGTCAATCTCCTCCTTCTCCTCCTCCTCATCGTCATTCTCACTCTCTTTTCTCTTCCTCTACCCACAGTCACTTCCTACCTCTACTACTACTACCACCTTACCCATTTCTGCTGTATACCACCCAACACAATCTTTGTGACCTCCTTTGCGCCCGCCCCCTTCGGTCCTCCTTATCATTCGGGTGTTCCTCCGCGCCGTTCCCACCGCTAACCTATCCTTGTGGGTGCCTTCCTGCCTGTGCGCCCCAGATCGTGTCCTCGGCCTTCCAAGTTCCCACACTAAACCTTTCGTTCCTTGACGTGGGCCCCTGTCATTGGCCTCGGTTTCCCCCTCCCCTGAGTGGGTGGCCGATAGTCTAGTCTACTACTATTCTTTCCTTCCATTACCGT